AATATAATTCATGAAATACAAATACTTCTTAAGTACAGTCCTTTGATTTGAATGATTCTGTCCTGATCCTAGATTATTTTGAGTCTGTGAGAGATGAAGATGAGTCAGAGTTTCATTAATATCGTTTCAATAAACAGAGACCAGAGAGTTCCCCTTTGATGTCACTTCCTGTTTCACTTGGACTGATCCAAGTTCAAAAGAAAATCTGCCATTTATGTGACAAATGGGTAAAAATCACATTTTATGCCAGGTTTCTTATATAAAATGTGTTTTGACTTTTAGTATTTGATGGACAGGTGACAGTCACTTTAAGTAAAGTAAAGTATTTGTACTTAGTTACTTTACACCYCTGCCAGTTCATCTGATATTTTCTAGCAACACAGACTTGATGCAGCGTTAATAAAACAATATAAAGCATGTGTGTTCATGTGTGGGAATGACCCAGTCCTCTTCCAACAGAGGGAAAGGTTCTGTCTGCTGATGTGACCCACTACGTGGTGCCAGATGTGGAGGTGGTGGTCAACTTCCTGGAGGTTCTGGAGTTCAGGGAGCTGCAGGGCATCGTCTTCACGCAGACCGCCTGCCAGGCTCTGCACAGTAAAGGACGCAGGTACCAACAAGCAGGACAGACGTTGTGTTTGCACCTGAAAGCAGGTCCTGATGCAGACGTTCTGCTGACTCAGCGTTAATCTCCCTGCTCCTGTTTCGGACTCACCTGGAGAGGACCGTAAACAGAGAGATCCACCTGACCCCGGCTTCCRCTGCAGCTCGGGTTCAGCTTCTGCTGACTCACCTGAAGGTGTTGCATGGTTAACATGAGGAGAATTCATTTTTGATGAAGTCAGGAATCTGCTGGAGGTTCTGCTGATGCAGCGTTTTTATTCAGCGCGCACAGAAACAGCAGCTGCAGCACGGTGGAACAGTGGTTAGAGCGGTTACCTCGCAGCTGGAAAGTTACATTTTCACCCTACAGACCAAAAACATTTCATTAGGAAGTCCTAAAGGTCCCTGGAGACGTGTCCAGGGTGTCCCCCGCCTCTCACACACCGACACCAGAGACAGTCTGTGCTGTGAGACTTCCTGCAATAAGACAAGATTAATAATGGAGTCATTCTGCTCCTGTTTAGTGTTTTAGCTTCAAAACAAGATCAGAAACAGTTCTTGTCTGGATTAGAGAGTAGGACTGGGTTAGATGGACGTTTCAGAGAGTAGGACTGGGTTAGATGGACGTTTCAGAGAGTAGGACTGGGTTAGATGGACGTTTCTGAGAGTAGGACTGGGTTAGATGGGTGTTTCAGAGAGTAGGACTGGGTTAGATGGACGTTTCTGCAGCGTTCTGACTCGTGTCTCTGCAGGTACTCCAGCCGTCTGAGGAACCTGCTGAAGGACCCTCGACACGACTGTGTGCTCTTTGCTAACGAGTTTCAGACGTATTCATACTGTCCACGAGAGAAAGGAGAGAGCCAGGAGGCGTGGCAGACCAGGTGAGTGCTCTCAGGTGAACCAACAGACTTTAAACCTGTAAAACAGCTGAAGTTCTGATGTTCTTTGAAGGAATACATACTGAGTGCCACCTTTACATCATCTAATGATGAGAGATGATCTGTTTGACTCTCACTTATTAACYCAACATCTGTAAAACTGTCTGAGTTTGAGCCTTTTGTGCTTCATAATGTCATGTTTCTATGGCAAACATCTTCATTTGAGCTAATTCCTAAAATACAGGTGTCTCCTGCAGGCTGAGCTAAAAGCTTGAGCTGTGAAAGGGTCAGCAGCATGTCGGTGGGCTCCGGTCCTTCCCCCTGGCTCTGATGTCAGTCAGAAACGTCCCGGCAGCTGGTTCACGWGAATGTTTCCCAGCCTGCTGCGTGTGCCTCAGCTGTGATTATAGACGTCAGTCAAYCCTGCAGGAAGTGAACAGTTCTCCTGCAGGGTTGACTCGTGTTCTGTGATGAAATGTGTTCAGAACCTACAGCTCTGTTTGATGGAACCGTTTGACAAATATCTGCTGCACAACCACGGCTGCAGGAAAAAAAAAACAATTTCTAATAATTTCTGACGTAATCGTGCGTTGCGTAGCCTCGTCTGGAGTAATCACTCGTTGCGTAGCCTCGTCTGACGTAATCACGTTGCGTAGCCTCGTTTATTCGCATCAAACAGTCGAGAGGGAAACTAGATGGAAACAGTCTAGATTCAATTTTTATTTAATTTTTTGCGAATTTTGAAAAGTTCGATAAAAAATCTACAACTGGATGGAAACACGATTACTGTAGAGAAGAATCTGATGTTTCTTTAGATTATTTTTAGTCTCCATCAAAGAGATGAAGAAAAGTTAAAGTTTAAATAATTTTGTTTCAATAAACAAAGACCAGAGAGTTTATTTTATTAATGAGTTCCCCTCTGATGTCACTTCCTGTTTCACTTGGACTGAGCCAAATTTAAAAGAAAATAGGCCAGTTATGAGACAAAATGGGTAAAATCGTGTGTATTATGCCAGTTATCTTAAGAATAAAGATGATTTCTTTGACTTTTTGAATTTGAAGGATAGACATGTCACAGACACTTTAAACTGTGGAACACCAGAGTCCCTGTCTCCAGTGAAACCAGTTCTACATCAACATGGACCTGTCCACACGGACGAGACAAATGTCTTCTGGAGACAAGTTTAACAGTTAGATGAGACGAAGATGACAGACAGAGACAGGAAGGATGTTTGGAGGCTTTCAGACCTGAGACCACTGAAGCAGCTGTCRGGCACGGTGGTAGGAGCTTCATGCTGTGGCAGCTACCTCCATATTCTTTCAGGACGTTTTAAAGTTGGACAGAGTTGGGTCCAACGGGACAAAGTCTGAACTTGTCCCTGAATGTTTAGACTGTTGATRGAAGAGATGTTCTCACAGGGAAACAGTTGTCCAAACGTTTGGAGTTGTTGCTGCACAGGTTGTGTTCTTTATGAATAAACGTGTCTTTGTGAGATACGCAGGTCGTTTTATTTACAGTTTTTCAGTCGAGCTGTTTGTTTACGCTGCTCTCCGTGTGTTTGCAGGTGTGTGTACTCTGCTGCAGTCTGGTACTACAACCACCTGGCTGGTCTGATCAACGTTGTGATGATCACAGAAGACACAGACGCCGTGACGCAGTTCAGCAGCTTGAACTCTGGAGTGTTTGTCGTCTCGTTTCAGGTGAACGGTTTCACTGAGATCACATCTGATACGTTTGACAACACGTAACACAAGTTTAGTTTAGTTTAGTTTAGTTTAGTTTAGTTTAGTTTAGTTTAGTCTAGTCTAGTCTAGTCTGGACCTCCCTGACCCTCAGACCGGACTCTGCAACCAGCAGCAGGAACAGTCAGGATGAACTGTCTCGTTTTGTTCGTCTCCCAGGACTATTTGCAGAACTTCTGGCCGGACCTTCATGCGGCTCATGAGCTCTACAGCTCCATCCGTCAGGCGCTGCAGGAGAAGGAGGCTGAGAACTCCCAGAGGGAGTTTCCAGAACATCTTCCTGCTGAAGTCCTGGAGGCTGGAATCAAATCAGGACGCTACATTCAGGTACAAACCTGCCTGCCTCATGTCTCTGCAGAAATGATGGAAACAAACACAGTTTAGTGAGATGCTTTGTTGTGCAGGTCAGACAGGCTGCAGCTAAGATCAAAAATACAGATTCTTAACCCATGGGTCCAACTGTGGGCCACAGAGGGCCGTGGGACCTCATTGATTTTGTAAAAGGTGCAATACACCTTTTCACCACTAGTAGCAGTAGTGCACCACTCAGATGTTTAACAACTTTTTAATATGTAGAAGAAGAACCTTAGAAACCTGCTGAGAATGGAAACTTATTTTAAATGAAAAGTAGAAACAAAAATGAAAGTAACTCATCAAAAACACCAAAGTTTGTCACTAATATGAAGAGCAGCTTCTGTTTTTACCATGTAATATTTTAAAAGTTCAAAACATTATCAAATACATAACAGATACAGCTATATTTTAATTTGCACTTTATCAAATTAACTGTTGTAGTTTATTTTTAAACATTTTGAATGTATTTTAAAGAAACTTTAAACTTGTCAAAAAGCTGTTGTTACTGATATTGTTTGTCACTAATATGAAGAGCAGCTTCTGTTTCTACCATGCAAACATTTTAAAAATACTTTATTTTTATTTGTACTTTATCAAATTAATTTTTACAGTTTTTATATGTTTTAAATTAAACATAATTTTATTTTTTGGATTGTCTGTTTTTGTTATAGTTTATGTTAAAAATATATATATATTTGTGCTGATAAGCCTGAGTGGTCTGTGTGGGCAGGTTACAATATAAAAATGTTTGTTATAATCATGTCTTGTGGTTATGTGACAATAGTTTAACTTTTAAACTGTAAGTGTATTTAATTTAGTTATAATGTAAATACAGTACAAATTAAACCAAGATTTATAATAATTATCATTTTGATCCATACATTAATAATATGTGACTGGGCCTCGTACCTCTTTATGTTCAACAAATGTGGCCCTGAGGTCAAAAAGGTGAAGAAGCTCTGATCTAAAACAGAAAGTTTTGATCTGTGTTGAGAGACGAGACAAAGAACCTGATAAGGTTGAAGATGAGACAGTTTGATGGTGAATAAAGTGATTTAATAAATGAACTTGTCTCTTTGTCTCTGTCCAATCAGGGGACTGTACATGTGAGCAAACATCGAGCACAGAACCAAGCTCTTATCGTCAGAGAGGGTTTGTCCAACAAGAACCCAGGTACCTGTGAAGTCCAGGTGTGTTTCCTCCTCACTCGTTCCTCTGTCCTGGGTGAAATGCTCTTCTTGTCCTCAGATCTGGGTGCAGGGGTGCTGSTGTTTGGTTCTAAGAGCCGTAACAGGGCCGTTCATGGTGACCTGGTCGCAGTGGAGCTGCTGCCACGGGACAAATGGAGGGGGAAGGTCACGGCTCTGACTGAGGGACAGGGGGACGAGAAGACGGGGGAGGACAGCCAGAGTAAAGCCATGCCCACAGGTGGGACCAGACCCTCTGACGGTCATCAGAACCACGTTGACTCRGTGTTGGACTGAACTCTGGGCGTCCACAGGTCAGGTTGTGGGGATCCTGCAGAGGAACTGGAGGGACTACGTGGTGACGTTCCCCTCCAGGGACAGGACTCTGTCTCAGAGCAGGAACTCCCAACGGATCCTGGCCATACCCTGGGACAGACGCATCCCAAAGATCCGTCTGAGCACCCAGCAGGCTGACGCTCTGCAGGTCTGACTCTCTTTTATTTTCATTGAGTTTCAAACAGCGTGAACGTGACCAGCTGTGTCCCCTCAGAACCACAGGGTGGTGGTGCGTATCGACTCGTGGGACAGCACGTCTCTCTATCCTAACGGCCACAGTGTGCGGGTCCTGGGTCCAGCCGGAGACCTGGAGACTGAGATCCAGACCATCCTGACAGARAACTGCATCCACGTGCCTCCGTTCTCCGAAGCTCAGGTCAGAACCGTGCAGGTGGTTTTACTTTGCTGTTCTGGACACAAACAGAACCTACGACTGGAAGGAGTCCCTCTAATGCTGACTCATCAGTTTATGTACACAGCTCCAGTTCACAACAAACACTGTTCAAATCCTCTAAATTATATTTCTATCAAGTTTTAGTTTTTTCTTTAAGCAGTTGGAGTATACTTACAGGGTTCCCTCAGGTTCTTCACATCCTTGAAAGTTTGTGAATTAAAAAAAAGGATTTCAAGAGTGCTGAGAAGCTCAGTCATCCAGGAGGGACTCAGAGTAGAGCCGCTAGGACACGCTGGAGGGACTATGTTTCTCAGCTGGTCTGGGAACACCTTGGGATTCCCCCAGAGGAGCTGGTCCAAGTGTCTGGAGAGAGGGAGGTCTGGGTCTTCTACATATAGGTCAAATTAATCACTGCAATAAAATAACTTTGTTTTTGTCACTTTTACAGTGGATTGCATCAACTCTGTTACATCCAGAAGGGAAACTTCACCAAAGTGAAACATAAATCTGTGGATCTGTGTTTGATTACTCTGCCTGGCTTTCTCAAGGACCAGGATGTGACACAAAMATCTGAATTATGGAACTGAAAGTGAAAGTAGTCAAACTGAAGTTTTAATAAACCAAAAACACAGTTTCAAAGACAATTAATTCAGATACAAAACTTTAAATTCAGTTTCAATTTATGTACATTCARATTCAATCTGAACAATTCAAATTCAGTTCCTGCTGGAACAAGATTTATCTCATACAGACGGAGCACATTATTTCTTTTATATCCTGATGATAGAAACTCTGCAGGTGTTCCTCAGGACTGTAGACGTTTCTCTTGTTTCTGTTCTGAAGGTTAAATTCTCATCATGACTTCAGCTCTGTAGGCCACGCTCAGAGAGCTGCAGCAGTTTGATAAAACATTTCTGTTCCTGTGATTCAGCTCAGAGAACTGCCGGTGAACTCTCCAAAGAAGCCGTGGACGGTGGATCCGGCTCAGGTGGCGCAGCGGCGCGACCTCAGGGACACTCACCTGGTGTTCAGCGTGGACCCGCAGGGCTGCGAGGACGTGGATGACGCGCTRTCGGTGCGCAGCCTCGCAGGTGGGCAGCTCCTGGAGCTGGGGGTCCACATCGCCGACGTCACTCACTTCGTCCCGGAGGGGTCGCTGACCGACCTGGAGGCCAGGAGCAGGTGGGCCACCGGCACCTGCAGACACTTTGTTTCTGTCGTCACGTTCTGAGGTGTTGCTCGCTCTCACTCTCAGGGCCACCACCTACTACCTGGCTGACCGCAGGTACGACATGCTTCCAGCTGTGCTCAGCTCTGACCTGTGCTCGCTGCTGGGGGGCGTGGACAGGTGAGTGGACTCAGTGTGTCTCCTGTCAGAACCTCTGAAGCCCCTCAGCCTGACAGGTGTCCCCTCGTGTTCAGGTATGCCATGAGCGTGGTGTGGGAGCTGGACGCTCAGACCCTGGACGTCACCCAGGTGTGGTTCGGTCGCACGCTGATCCGCTCCTCCTACCAGCTGCACTACGAGCTGGCCCAGGCGCTGCTGAACGGGGAGGAGGCCCAGGTACCAGAGCTGGCCCGGCTCGACCCCGAGGAGAGGAGCGTCAAGCTGGCTGAGCTCATCGAGGCGCTGGAGACGCTGACCCGCGTGGCGAGGCACCTGCGGGCTCAGAGGGACCGAGGAGGAGCGCTGGAGCTGGAGGGGGTGGAGGTAAGATAAGATAAGATAAGATAAGATAAGATAAGATAAGATAAGATAAGATAAGATAAGATAGAAGTTTATTGATCCCACAGTGGGGAAATTTGAACATTACAGCAGCTTAAAACAGTGGAGCTGCAGTAACAGGCTGCCTGCCGTGGCACCAAGGAACAAAGAAAAACTGAAAACCACACAAGGGAAGATGAGTAAAAAAGCAAAAACATCATATTATATCAACACTGTGACACACTATGGTGTTTATGAAAAAACCTCTGCATAGAGCAAGTTTATWAGCCAGAGGAGTAAGTGAGTTTAGGGGGRCCTGAAGAATMCAGTCCCCAAATCCAGCGTAGCCATAGTTAAGAAATATTGATGGAACTGTTCATTTCTGTGCAGCTTACAGCCTGCTCTGGAAAAGCAGATTAAACGGGCGACAGGAGGGGGGAAGGTATGGTGGCAGAGCCTTGTCGACACATCCAGCCAGGAAGATTTTAGTCAACAGATCCAAGGCTGTTGTCAGGGAGATCCAGATTCTGTAATCAGTTGTTTWGGGAACAGAAGAGACAAGCAGACGACACAATTTTCCATCTGCTTTAGASTTCTGCTGGTACTTTCAAGGTGGCGAATCCAGTCAGGCAAATAATGTGGACAAATTCTGCCGAGCCGATCTATCAGCTTCCTCCAAGATCATTTCCATCTGGCCAGCAAAGTCCAGGGACCACAGCCGGCCYGCGACCCTCAGTAGAACCACTWGCAGACCGAGTCCAGCTYGCTCAAGGCACAATGTCCAAGTTCTGATAGAATACGGCCATCCTTCGAGTTCGTCAGTCAGCCAGGAGATGAAAAGTCACCGACGCTGTTTTGTAGAAACACCAGGAGACCACCAAGYCAATCTGTAGAATCCAGTGATCAGAGTCCAGACATAAATCCAGAACAGAGCAGAACGGAGGTCCCACCTTTGACATGTCCTCYCATGGAAGAAGAAAAAACTTTGTTCCAAGAAATGTATTAAGAGAMCAGATAACCAAGTCCATAAAAATAAAAATATCCATAATTTCTTATTTCGGATGAAAAAATGTAAAGAAGCCTCCAAGCAGCAAAGCAGGGAAAAATAAGGAAGGGCAGGAGAGAAGGAAGAAGTGTCTTACTCCTCCGAGAGCAGGAAAAAAAAAAGATTATTGATAGGCCGACCCAGCTAACTGAGGGGTTAGTGCTGGAGAATGAGGAGACTATTCATTTGTGTTAGCATCAGAGTGGCTAGCAACTAGCAATGCTAAACCCAGCTTATCCATGCTAGTCACTAGCCTCTCCAATGCTAAAGCTACCTTATCTTTGCTAGTCACTAGCCTCTCCGTTGCTAACACAAATGAATAGTATCCTTCTCATTGGCCAGCTCCAGCCTCTCAGTTAGCAGTGTCAGCCTATCATTAATCAGATCAGTAGCTGGTTAGGAACAGATATTACCTCCTGCTACAAGGATGTAACAACCACTGGTTGCACATTAGTCTTAATTTTAGCCCTCATACCGAGCCATAATCTGTAGACATCCAGAGTGACTCAGAGCTGCACGGCAGTTTCAGACCTTTTCTTGTTTCTCTGAGGAGAATAAATATCTGACTCATGTTTTCTTGTTTCTCCTGCTAAAGCTTCAGACAGAAACAAACACTTCCTCCTGAAGGTTCAGTGAAAACAAACTGAAAATCTTTGTAACAGTCTTCTGCCTGCAGGTCAAAGGTCACGGTTTTATCAAATGAATTTGGTTTTCTAATGTTTTTAAGCAAAGGTTGATTTGAAGAACTCTGGGTTTTGTCAGAGACGACTGTCAGAGCTGGAGCTGTTSTCACTCACCTGCTGGCTCCTCCCCTCCAGGTGAGAGCTCAGCTGGACGAGGACAGGAACATCACGGCGCTGGTCCCCAGGCTGCCCCTGGAGGTCCACGAGACCGTGGCAGAGTGCATGATCTACGCCAACCACTGGGTGGCCCGCAGGATCCAGGAAGCCTTTCCACATCAGGCCCTGCTGAGGCGCCACCCGCCCCCCCGACAGGAAATGTTCAGCCAGCTGGTGGAGACGGCCAAGGCGGGGGGCTTCAGCATCGACACCAGGTGACCCAGTCTGATCACACAGACTGAAAACTTTTATCTGGACCCCCCCACACCCCCATATTTTCTTTACTAAAACCTCTGTAACTTTGCTCCAGTTCATTTTAKCAGCATGAAYCTTTGTACAGGTGATGTCCACAGGTGGATTTATGGTTTCCAAGAGTTTTAGCCTGATTCATTATGGTTTTAAATGGGTTATATACTGTTTAATGGAAACATTATTCAGGTGAGAGCGAAAAATAAATTATATTCCATCCTCAATATCTTTAAACCCACAGCAGCTGTTTTAATACTTCTGATGAAACCTCCCAMGTTTAGCTTTATTTTAATACCAGGATGCTGAGAGACACTGATTATATTTCACCTGGGATTTAGAGAAAAACCTTCAAGAAAACCTCTTGTGGCTGAAGAGGTTAAAATAACTGAGTGATATTTCAACATTTCTTAAAGTCCCTGTCACACTTTAACATTTTAGACAACTTGTGAAAATGTTAAGACATCTACATTGAAGATGGAATTTAATAAATTAACTGGAAGCCTCTTTTGTGCATACGGTAATGTTAACAAATGGATCACATTTAAAACTTTTATTAGTAATTTAGACATAAATTTATAAGTTGTATATTGTGACAGGGCGTTATAGAGAATAATGTTTTTATTTTTTATTTGGTTGCACTTGTTAAAATGAAAAMCATGATTGATAATTTATTGTCATTTATTTTGGGGACCATCAAACTATAAGTCTCAGACCCCTGAGGATCCTGGAACCCCACTTTGAGAACGTCAGAATTAAAGGAACTTGTAAACCAAGCTGCTGACGGGTCAAAGTTCATAACCCCTCCCTCTGAACTCCTGCAGGACTAACAAGGCCTTAGCCGAGTCTTTGGACCGGGCYGTGGACCTCCAGGACACGCTGGTGAACCGGCTGCTCAGAATGATGGCCACCCGGGCCATGTCCCAGGCCCTGTACTTCTGCACTGGTTCTGAGTCYGAGGACCAGTTCTATCACTACGGTAAACCAAACCCTGCTGGTCCCGCTCAGGGTGACGGGACAGAAACTGAACCTGTACAGTTCTGATCCTCAGGTCTGGCTCTGGACCGGTACACCCACTTCACATCACCGATCCGTCGCTACGCCGACGTGGTGGTTCACCGCCTGCTGAGCGCGGCGCTGCAGGCTGAGGAGGGGGCGGGGCTTGTTAAAGGCAATAAGGACATGCAGGAAGTGGCTGAGCACATCAACAGCAGGAACAGGGTGAGAACAGCTCTTTGGTTCCTGCAGGTCAAAGCTGTGGTTCCTCCTGGACATCTTGTGGGTTCTGGTGTTGGCAGGCAGCCAAGAGGGCCCAGAACTTGTCCGTGGGCGTGTTCCAGTGCCTCTTCTTCAAGGAGCGAGACCCTCAGAATGACCCACGCTGCGTGTCCGACGCCATCATCTACGCCATCCGAGACGACGGYGTGCTGGTGTTCGTCCCCGAGTGAGAGCTCAGCTTTCTTCTGTGGATGTTCYGGTTCTGGTTCTGGTTCTGACAGCCTCTGATCCGTTCAGGTACGGTGTGAGGGCTCCGGTCTGCKTGAAAAACAAAGACGGCCAGGTGGTGTCGGTGGGGGCCGACGGCAGCTGCGAGTGGCAGAGCGGCTCGGTCCGCCGGTACTCGGACCACATCAGCACCAGCTCCAGCTGCGGCAGCGCCACCTTCAGGCTGTTCGATCACATCACTGTGAGTCCGAGCTCATCCTGACCAGGTTCTGATCCGAACAGGCTCACAGACTCACTGTTTCCTCCACAGGTTCGTATCTCTGTCCTCTCCACCAACTGCCACGCAGACACCCTGCACCTGGAGGTGGTCCGCAACATGCCGCACCTCAGCGCAGCGCCTCGCCAGTCCTGCTCGCAGAACCAGAACCACATGGTCCAGGAGGTGGTGCGGCTGGCCGAGGAGGCGCAGGAGAAGGCGACGCAGGAGAAACCCAGACTTTCCAAAGAGGAGAGGGAGTTCAGGCAGAGCAGGACCCCCAACCTGTACTCTCTCCTCCAGGAGGTCCGAGAGCTGGCCCTGATGGACCTGGAGGTGGTCTCACAAACCTGTGCAACAACAACTTAGAGCAGGTCTGAGGCTCAGACAGGACTTCCTGTTTACTCCACATCAACGTAAACAAACAATCAGGACTTCCTGTTTGCTCCACATCAACAAACAGAATCATTTCCAACAAGGACCGGACTGAGAATGATTCACAGCATCGAACATGTTTTGTTTTTAAAATAAATGGACGAGTGTGAAAAGAATCAAVTTTAAAGAAGTTTTAAAGATGGACGCTGTGAGTTGTTTATTTAGTGACTTCAGAGGAGGCTGCAGATGTTTGCAGACAGGAAGTTGTGTTAAAACTAAATAAAAACAAAAACATCCATCAGTCCATCCTCTGCTGCTTATCTGTGGTCAGGTCCAGGAGAAACCCAGACCTCCTGCTCCAGCTCCTCCTGGAGGACAGATCTCACCAGAGTCTGAAGTCCTGCCATTCTACAAAAACTCCTCTGTCAGAGCACAGGTGTGTCAGAGCACAGGTGTGTCAGAGCACAGGTGTGTCAGAGCACAGGTGTGTCAGAGCACAGGTGTGT